CTCCTGTCAACTAGTAACAGAAAACTGAAGCTGCAATTCGTATAGGTTCACCAAAATTGGAAAATAGAAGATTGGAAAAACGTTGCTTGGTCTGATGAGTCTTGATTTCTGCTGTAACATAGGAATGGTAGGGTCAGAATTTGGCATCAACAACATGAAACATGAAAGCATGGATTCATCCTTCAACCAATCAGGCTGGTGGTGGTGGTGTAATGGTGTTGGAGATATTTTCTTGGCACACTTTGGGCCCACTAATATCAATTGAGTATTGTGTCAGTGCCACAGCCTAGCTGAGTTTTGTTGCTGACCATGTCCATCCTTTCATGACCACAGTGCATCCATCTTCTGATGGCTACTTCCAGCAGGATAAGGCACCAAGTCATACAGTGCAAATCATCTCAGACTGGTTTCTTGAACATGGTAATGAGTTTACTTTACTCAAATGGCCTCAACAGTCACCAGATCTCAATCCAGTAAGGCAATTGTTGAAATATAGTTTAGTTAAAGGAATAGTTCGCCTAACTATCACTAACATCCTTCACTTGTTTGAAACCTTTTAGATTTATTTTCTTCTGTTAAACAAAAAGAAAATATGTTATTTAAAAAATTATGGTAGTTGGTGCCCATTGATTTAAATAGTATTTTCCCCCCTACTGTGTTAGTGAATTGGTACCATTAACCCGTATTCCTTAAAGCAAATCTTCCCTTGTGTTCAACAGAAGAAAGAAAATCACAAAAAACAAAGTCATTTGAATTTTTTGGGCAACTGTTCCTTTAAAAAAAAGTAAGAATCAGACCCATAAAAACTGCCAAAATGCTGTTTAATGGAGAGATGTTTTTTTTTTTTTTTTTTTTTAATCAAACTGTTATTTTGTTTTATGCCTTTGCTTTTATTTCATCAAATAATGTTTTCTAGCAAATGTTGATTTTATTTTTTTATCATTGATGTAAATGAACTTAATTGACCATTGACCAGAGTATATAAAAGCACAAAAGTTTAAATTCAGTTTTTCTGTATATTAAGGTAGCAAATATAGCTTAAAGCAGTGTGAAGTGATCTATAATGTAACGTTACCTGAATTTAAATTAATAGCATCAAGGCTAAATCTGGCATTACAGCACATTCTTCATTGCTTTCTGTTAATATGGAGATCAAGCCTTAGTCTTGCTTTTAAACTGTCAAATATATTGTCAAATATATTTCTGGCTCTTCTACAGAAATAAGAGCTGCTGGAAATGATTGTGTGCTATACCGCATCATTATAGTGAATACCTGATGCTCACTGAATGTACACCGGAGCATAGCTAATGTTGCTAATACTAGTGCTAATCAATCATCTGAAAGTTAAATTGACCTGTTATCATGCCACTGCTCAAGAAGTCCATGCCATTTATGTTAACGTTTTCTTTCCGATCAGAATTTTTTTATTTTCATTTTACTTTTATAGCACAAACACTTGCTTCCTCAGACTCTGTGTTGATTGAAAATATATTCATTAGGTCATCCAATAGCTGATTAAGTTTCTAAATGTTGCATATTCTTGCATCATTGAAGAAAATATGGTGTTCGTTTATCGTAGTTCTAATAATAGAAGTTTAAAATGCATCACTTCATGAGAATTGGTTGCTATTAAAGACACTGTGTGAGCAATTAAACTTAAATTCTATTTGAAATATGCTGCTAATGAACTGCCAATGCTGTTTTTCCTGTTGTTTTACATAATTATTTCTTTGTATATTATTTTTGATTCAATATAATGTTTCAAATAAAAAAAATTTAAAAAAAAAATCACTTTGTTCAACTGTAGAGATAAATTTTCATTGTTTAAGCAGTTATTAAGGTGTTATAATGCAATTCAGAAGTGTAAATAAATGTAAAACCCACAAGAATCATCAATTACAGGGAATTAATAGATCATTTGTATGCTGCATATGTTGTATTTTTCTCATTTAAAATTGCATCAGTATGACCTGCAAGAATAATAACATTTCAAATGTAAAAATAAAAGAACCACCTTACTAAGATTATTGGCAATTATGCTGAAAGGGTTTTCATTAGTGTATTGAGACCAACTTGTGTGCAAGGGCTTCAATGATTATATGTTTTATTGGTTTGAGAGTAAACTGAGGCCTGTGTGGGGGGAAAATCTGTTTTTTTTGGTCAATTGTCATGGAAACAGTTTGTAGCTTGATGCAGTGTGCAGATGGTGGATTATGATGATCAAGTATATTAAGTGCATACTCATATGTACATGTAAAACAATATGGTGTTTGTTCTCTCTTGATGTCTGCACTGTGAAAAATTGTTGCTGCCTTCATTTGTTTTCACTGTATAAAATGCTAGGTTCCACACAATCTATTTCTGTTGGGACAACTTGAAGAGATTAAGTTAACTTTTACAAATTTAAGTGGATTGAACATTAAACAATTAAGTTGTTCCATCGAAATCTCAAGAATTGTGTTGTTTCAGCTCATTTTAAACAAGTAGTTAAACTTTTTTATCAGATTAATTTTCTAGTCTTCTGAACTTACATCAATCAAGCTGACTAAATGTATTAAGTTAAACTTTATATAACTTAAAACATGCAGTTGGAACTTGATTAACTTATTAAAATAATTTAAAGTAACAGAAAAACATTTATCATTTTTTACAGTGTTATTAGTTTTTCTCAATTGCACCGTGACCTTTAAAACAGGACTGTGTGATTGGCTGAAGAAATGTATGCCTGAAGCAATCAATACACCCAATGCTGATAGCCATGGACAAAAATACAGGCAATTTGTAAGTTAATTAAAATGAGATCATATGTTTGATAACTGTCATTAACAAATAAACTAACAAACCAAAAAGAAGATCCTAAAGATCAGATAGCTCCCGATAAATGCAACAGGAAATTATGACAGTTAATTAAATTAGAAAAACAGAAAGTGAGATAAAATATAAATGTGTACATTGAATGAAATTGTGCTTGGGTCTTAACTGGTATATTTGCAAATGAAAAATGGCCTGAAGGTCTGTTGGACAGTAGGAAAAATGCAATTAATAATTAATACATTTTGTTGTTGCTGATGTCAAACACCCATTCTTTCAGCAAGACTATTCTTTCTGGATTTATGTCTTATGACGTTAAAGGGTAAAATGTTTTTTTTTTCTGTTTTATTCTGTGAGAGCTACATAATGAGATTTCTTCAAAAATTAAAAAAGGGTGACTTAGAGCATCATTTACTTATAAATAACAAAAATAAAATAACAAAAAGGTGCCATGTTGTCAGGCATATTTATGCAAATTTTTAGACAATGCAAACCCAATATATAAACTTCAATTTTAAGAATCTATTTTAACAATCTAAGTGCAAAGTCTGCAGCGCATGGCCCAAAAGCATTAGGGGCATGTCTAACGGGAAAATTAGGGTTGTGCGGGTCTGAAATAGCAAAAAATTGCACCAAACATGTCTTGCGCCTTATTGTGCCGGGTGTATGATGAGGCCCCAAAAGACTTAGGTAATCAGTATCTGGGGGATTCCCAGTACTGGGTTGCGGCAGGAAGGGCATCCACTGCGTAAAACAAATATTGGAATAGTTGGCGGTTCATTTCGCTGTGAAGATCCCTGAGAATTACTAAGCCGAAGAAAAATGAATGAATGAATATCTCGGGGAATAACCCTATATAGAAATTGTTATTTTCTGGGGGAAATGTCTAAAATTGTTGTATTTTATGTATAATCTTGAAACAATCTTTGCTGGACCCTTGTTGAATAAGACAAACATCACCATTTTAAATCATGTAAAATCCAGAAAAGACATATGAATCCAGAAAAACTAAGCATTTTAAAGTGAATTGGACTGAAAATTACCTTACTGGTCAGTCATTTTTGCAGTCAGTGTTTTTAGTGTGGTAAATATCAATATTAATATCAATATAAATACAATATTATTACTTTTCTTAATAATGCTATAGTAAATAGCAAAACAATATAAATACTAATATAACATTTCATTTTAAAGATGATTGTCTTCATTATTCATAATATATTAGTTCTATGCTTTTTTTTTACCTCTGCAGTAGATGTTCATTATAAAATCTTGAAGCAAAGCTGGTTGACAACTTTGGTATGCTTAAGCTGATGCTAAAAGACAGATTCAGATTTATTTGCAGGAAAACAAAGCTGCTGTCAGCACTCAGAAATCTGCAGATGATAATCATTTTCTGCTCCTCTTAATGCTTTTTATCAAACTGTTTTGCTTTCTTACATTGACAGGTTTTTGAAAGTTTTCAGTTTCTCCTGCTTTGTTTTTATTATTTTCTTTTACGCAGCGAAGAAAGAAAAAAGGGAACATGTAAAAGATGCAGACAAGCTATAGCTTTTCAGTGTCATGCTATAAAAATTTAATTGCAACTCAAAAGTGAAGACCATAAATGTACAGTCAAGTCAGGAGTTTGCACGTACTTTTATGATTAGTCTCCCCTTCAGCCTCGTTCTCATGTTTGTTTTGACCCTCTTAAAGGACGGTTCTTGTGTCCTTTTTGTGAGTAGATGGATAAGATGATCCATGCCAGACGATTAAGCCATCAAAAAGCCACTTCAGTAGACTGAACACGACGTGACTTGACTGCTGTGATGTGCAAAGTGCAAGAAAAACCCGAATTCTTTCTCCACGACTCATCAAATCTCCAGAGCACAAAAAATAGAGGCTTCCTTTTCATGAAAAAATCCAATATATCTGTCATCATTTACTCACTCTCAAGATGTTCCAAACACACATGATCTTCCTCCATCCTGTGGAACAAAATTAGATATTTTTACAGATCTCACTTTCCCTTTCAAACATCATCTCCGACTCAAATCTACAATTAGGTCTGAAGGAAATCTCACAGGAAAAATCTGATCTCCAGTCAAATATTCAGCCTATACTTGATCTATTTTCATCTCAGCCTTCATCTTAAACGCAGCTTTAGCTCTCCGTTTTTAACTGCTCTCTTTGCTGTTTTCTGTTTTAGATGTGCGGGGACTCAGAGGGTTTTTGGACCAGGCTTCTCGAATGGGTTTGGACGTGTCTCTGCAGCAGGTTGACCGAAATGTGACTAAGGTTTTTTCCACGCTCTTCAGCACAATGAGAATGGAGGAGCTAAACCGCTACCGGGACACACTGAGACGGGCCATTTTGCTGCTCAGCCCTCGCACTGCACAGGTCTTCATACATCAGGTAGGTCTCATGGTAAATACAGCTTGGTGATATACCAGAAGATGCAATGGTGATTGTAAACTGTTGTGTTAAATGGTCAAAAGTATCACTTATTTTAGGACATTGTACATCTTGCCTAATTGGGGTTTTTGACTATCAATAAGTATGTTTACATGGACACCAATAATTTGATTTTAATGTGATTAAGACAATACTCTGATTAAGAGTCTACCATATAAACAATGACTTTTGAATAATTTAATCAGATTAAGGTCATTAGGGTTTTTTTCTTCCATTCAGCATACGGTATGAACTTAAGGCATTAAAACTCTTTTAGCAATTCATAGTTCCATCCAATATCTGGTTTGTCACGGGGGGCAAGCAGGAAATGTTCCCGAATGAAAATGAATGAGACAAATTGAAAATGAAACACCCGAAATTACATGAATCTCTAGATCAAATGCGGCTAGCTTGGTGACGCAATGACATTAATCGAATTACATAAAACGCGATCATAAAAAGGAACATTCTAATAACAACTTATGTAAACACCTTAATCTTATTAATATCTTAATTAGATTAAGGCAATTATTTGATTTCTGATGTCCATATAAATGTATTCAATGTTAATGAAGGATGTGTGCACATAGGAATAAATTGCAATAATGTGTCATGGCTTGTAATAAATTAATTTATTTTTATTAATTTATTTTTAAATTATTATTATTATTATTTTTGTTGTTGTTGTTGTTGTTGTTGTTGTTGTTAAATATTTTTTTGTATGAGTATTCAACTGATAGAAATAAAATCATAAGGATTTAAAACCATTTGGGGGTGAGTGAATGATGAGTAGATTATACTTTTTTTAAGGGTGATTTGTCGCTTAAACCCGTATTTGTGCTGTTTGAGCTGTTTTTATCCACTCGGGTGATTTTGAGCCTTAACTTGGTCATGACTTTCTCTGTGTTTAAGCAAATGGAATATTTTTTGGTGACAAATCTTATTTTGACACATATTTTTGGAAAATGCTTTAAAATTGTTTTAACAATACACTCAAATGTACTACCCTTTCATTATGTTTGTGGTTTCTTTGCCCCATTGACTTCCATTATAATGATATTTTTTGATTGCAAAGCCATAACACCATGTAATTATGCATTCTTGATTGTTGCTGCTTTTCCCTGTTGGAAAGAGGTAACACTTTTTATTGTTGATCATCAGTTGCAGTGCAAAAAAGCTTTGTTTTGGGCTTAAATTTATATGGTTATATGGAGTATAGTCAGGGTGCGAATTACAGGTCTGTTTGGATGGGGGTGTTGAGTGGGGGGGAGTGTCAGGCCCCACTAATTAACCCTTGATCCTACCTGAAGGAGGGGGGGGGTAGTTTGTATCTGTATCTTAAATAATATTAATAATTTAAATAAAATATAAATATTTAATATACAGTTGTAATCAGAATTATTAAACCTTTTTTTAATATTAAACTATTTTTAATATATATAGCAAGAACATTTTCACAGTATGTTTTATCATACTTTTCCTTCTGGAGAAAATCCTATTTCTTTTATTTTGGCTGGAATAAAAGCAGTTTTTAATAATAAAAAAAAAAAAAACAATAATGTCAAAATTATTAGTCCCTTTCAGTATTTTTTTTCTGATAATCTACAGAACAAACTGCTGTTATACAATAACTTGCCTAATTAACCTATTCTGCCTATTTAAGCCTTTAAATGTCACTTTAAGCTATAGAAGTGTCTTGAAAAATATCTAGTCACATATTATTTACTCTCATCAAGGCAAAGATAAAATTAATCAGTTATTAGAAATTAGTTATTTAAACTATTATGTTTAGAAATGTGTTGAAGATGTCTTTCTCTCTGTTAAACAGAAATTTGAGGAAAAAAAATAAACAGAGTGCTAATAATTCAGGGGTTTAAATAATTATGATTGCAGCTGTACATTTGACCACCCCTGTAATAGTTAATACCATTTTGAATGCATGTTTGCGCCAAAAAATATTAATACAGCAGTTTGAAACTGGCAAATCTAGAGCACCAAAGACAGAGTAAGTGGTCACAAAACATCTTTCTTGTAAAATAGGCTTTTGTACTGTAGGTATCAGTTAAACTAGATGCATAGTTTATATTTTATTATGCACTTGCTTGCACATGGAGGTTGAACAATACAAGGCACACAAACACACACAATGAATTTATGCAGAGTTTTTGCGTTATAATTACTTCCATTCGCATCCCTTGCCATAGTAATCTACCGCGACATTTGAGACAAATGACGTCATTGTGCAATAACCGGTTAGGATCTATTAATAAATCAGTTCTGAAATGTCCGTGTCTGCATCGGGGTACACTGAAGAAACAATTAACTTTGACACTGCTAACCTCTTCCCAACAGAGAAAAGCACCAACGATTAAGAATACATGATTGTTTGGTGTTGTGGCTTTACAATCAAAAAAATGTCTTTATAATGGAAGTCAATAGGACAAAAACCACCATGATCATAACAAAAGGGTAGTCAAGTCGAACAGTACACAAGGCTTAAAAGCAAAATAGTTTTATAGAAGTGCGCAGAAGCCCTGATTTAGAATAGAGTTTATGTGTTTGTGTGCTCTTAGTTGTAGTATTGTTTGTTGTTCACTGATAAAAAGTCATTTTGGAACAAAGCTTTTGCTGGAGAGGCACGTTTGCTGTCGTGCTAAATGGCCTGGAAAATAACTAAAGTGGCTCATCCTTGCATTGCATTCTGTTTAGCAGTAATCTTTGCAAACTGATCTGAACACATTACGATTAAAAGATAAGATTTAATGTGTTTAAGTTTTTAGAAGGTTATTGGTTTGAATCCTAATGGTGAAGTGAAGGATTTTGACTAAGTGTCAGGAGGTTGTTTATGTCAAAATCCCTCACACTGCTGTGATCACTGCTGTAGGGCGTTCAAGGAAAACACTTAACATAGTGACTCCCCCGGCTATTGCTGTAACAAATCTCTAGAGCTTTGACTGTAAGATTTCCCCATCTATATTTAAATTAAAAAATATGCAAATTGATGAGAGTGGGAAGAAAACTGTTCATTTGTGCATAAACGTATTTATTAATTTATAGCATGTTAAAGTCTTAAACATGCTAATATGATATCCACAAAGATATATTTTAAGCAGAATGGCATATTCAATTGATCAAAAAGATTTTTATTTTTTTTATTTTTTTGCTAAATAATTTATTTCAAACCAATGCTATTTATGCCTCTATTTTATCAAGGATTGAATATAAATAAATAAATAAATAATAAAAAATATTGATGTATTTGTGTAAGCTATTTTGAAGAAAGCTGGAAACTTGTAACAATTGACTTCCATAGTAGGAGAAACAAATACTATTGAAGTCAATAGTTACCAGTCCCCAGCTCTCTTTCAAATAGCTTCTTTTGTGTTCAACAGAAAAAGGAAACAAACAGGTTTGTGACTAGTGTGAGTAAATGTTGACAGAGTTTTCAGTTGTGGATGAACTATCCCTTTAAAAAACATCCTCACAGAGAAAGCAACATGTTTGTGCCGAGATTGAATCTATGGGCAGTTTGGCCAGTGTTTTCCAGCTCTTCTGCTGATTAGCAATGTGACAGCTCAGAGATAGAGTTCTCTAGAGCAGCAAAGCATCCTGGGAGTTCTTTGCAATAGTCTAAAAAGTTTAAATTGAGCTCTGAATAGTCGCGGGATGAGTTCACCATGCCATCTTTCTCTTGCTTTCTTCCCCCGTGGGCAGTAATTCACTCTTATCTGAATAACCTTGTCTGTTTGGGGATGTCTTGTATATGTGTGCGTTTCCTCAGTGAATTTCTGAGACGGTCAGATAAACAGCCGGGTTCAGAGAGCTGCTATCAGGGTTTTTAGGGAGGTTTTCCATGCTCTGATTCTTCCATGGCTCTCTATGCAATTCACACAGCCATTACCACTGCTGTGCATTAGGCTGAGCGTGTCGGCCTGTCAGGATATACAGAGACAGCTGGAAAATAGCAAGGACACAAGGTACATTCATCCAGAATATAAGCTGTCATTTAATGGCCCTTCGCTTGTGCATGTGGACACATGTATCTGAGGCTAAGCACAAACTAGCCAGGAATGACTGGATTGAAAAAAAAATAAATAAATACTGCAAGAGATGCATCTGATGTCCAAAAGTCCATTTATTCTTGAGCAACATGTCCATTAGTCGAACGACTTCTGCTGCTGTCAGATTCCTTTATCTCTTTTTTTTTTTTTTTTTGCAATTAATTGCTGAAACCTTTTTCACAATATACTGTATTGTACCAGTCAGATGCTGGCAAAGGAGTTCCACATGCCGTATTTACCAAACAGAGAATAGTCAGACAGGCAATGGTCAATCACAGGTACATGAAGAGCGATTAAAAAAAAAAAAAAAAAAAAAAAAAAAAAGAGTAGTCGGTACACAGGCAAAGAGATTGGTCCAGGCGGCTAACAACAAGAAGCAATAAACAAATTGAGGAACAGAAAACATGGTACAGCAAGGGAAAACACGTTGTGATGATACAGGTTAAAAGTGAACAAGACTCAGCCATGATGTGTGTGTGCAGTGTTTATAGTCCATCTGTGTAGTCCTGAACAGCTTCAGATCATTTTGATATTGACCTAAACTGCAAATGTTATGCTTAAACAGGCATAAACCAAAAATATAATTCAATGTATATTGGTTTATTCAGTTAAAAAATAACTATAAGCTATTATAAATGAACCAATTAATTGCAAAATGATAATACAGTACAATAGCTAACACTTTACAACAAAGTCTCATTAGTAAATGTTTGTTACTGCATTAAAATCAACAGCCAGTTATATGCTATATTTAATAAAAAGTTGATTTTATTAGTGATTAACTGCATTGAATGAAATTATTCATTATTAATTTATTATTAGGTACTCAATTAGAAATGATAATCATCTAAGATTAATACATTTTTTAGTTTTTGTTAGTTTGACATTATTAAATTATCT